TGTCCTCCACGTTGATTGATGCATTCGGTGCATCTTCGCCTCATGGATCTTGCAAGGGTGCGAAGGGTAGCCAGTGGAATCACCTGCCATTCCATTTGGAGCCACTGAACCAGAACCTGGAGAGCTGGTGCAACTCCATGAGTGTCCCTGACACGTCGTCCCAGAACATCCCAAAGATGCTCAATTGGAGCCAAATCCGGTGAATATGCTGGCAACTGCATCACAGTCACATTGTTCTGTTGCAGGAAGTCTCTAACGACTCTAGCCTGATGTGGTCTGGCATTGTCATCTTGCAGGACTGCTCCTGAACCAATGTTGTTCAACTGTGGTAGGACAAGAGGGCCCAAAATCTCGTTACGATACCTCACTCCATTCAAATTGCCTTGTACAAGATAGAGAGGTGTTCGGTGTTGCAAACTGAAGCCTCCCAATACCATCAATGAGCCACCGCCTAACCTGTTTCTTTCTCGTACATTGGCATCATCATAACGTTCTCCAGGACGTCTCATAACCCTTACCCTTCCATCATTATGCTCAAGACAGAAACGGGTCTCGTCAGTGAAGAGAACTCTGGACCATTGTTGATTATCCCATCTCAAATGTGCCCTGGCCCAGGCAAGTATTGCAGCTCGGTGATGAGGACGAAGATGAGGACGTACAGCTGGACGACGTGACCTTAAATGAGCAGCTCTGAGGCGGTTCCTGATGGTCGATACGCTTACGTTGGTGTGTGTTGCTTGTCGGAGTTGCAGTCTCAAAGCACTGGCTGTTGTGAACCGGTTCCGAAGGGCTAGCAGCACAACGTATCAGTCATCTGCCCTAGATGTTACTCTGGGTCTCCCAGAACGCGGTCTGTCCTGCACTCTCCCTGTTGTCTGGAACCGTTCCCTCAGTCTCTGAATGACAGACGGTGACACTTGAAGACGACGGGCAACATTCCTTATGGATGCACCATCTTGTAGCCACGCTATGGCCCTAGTCCTGTCGTGAATGCTTAACGGTCTTCGCTGGGACATGTTTAAGGAAATGTGTAACTTCACAGTGTCTGAAGCTTCTTTATAAAGAAAAGTTGCCACAAACTGCATGGGAATTCTGACTTTCACGTGCACTAGGTTGTTGTGTTTTTGCGTTTGAATCTGACAGGAGGGAGTCTTTCTGCACCCAAGTTTTTTCCTGTTTTAGCATTTAATCAATTTGACCAAATTCTTCAAAAAAAACGAAGCACTTGCAAAAATGCATGACTCAACACGTCATTTAAAGTGCCCTCAGTGCACACAAAAAGTTGCATTTACTTAAGTTCATAAATGACCAAGCCACGTTAAGTTTTATACATGGCTATGAAATTTAGGGGTGTTCCCATAATTTTTGTGTGTAGTATATACATGAAATGTTTTAAGTCAAAATCATATTTTGTACATCAGCAAAATGTTGAATGTACAGAAGTACACTTACCACAGCTGCCCTGCTCATCGGAGAAGTCGTCACAGTCATTGTCGCCGTCACACACCCAGCTCTTCTGAATGCATCTGCCGTTGGCGCACGTGAAGTCGGTGGTCTTGCAGGAACCTGGAACACATTGAAGAAGTTCAACCTCAGCGGACTGACAACTCGGTTAGGTTCACGCATCCTGTTGTTAACATTTATACTACTCAAAATACATTTAAGAACACACACACAAATAAAAGGTTGTGTGTTGCAATACTGACCAGCAGCGTCAGATTAAATCTATCATATGAAGCATTTTGGGTGTTCTTTAACTTCTCGAGAGCTCAACATCCCATATACTGGACCTTACATCTTTTACGGGGGCTTTTCTTGGTTTGTTGCATTTCAGTCCTGGTCCAGCGCTGGTCCAATAATTAAAGTTCTTTAAGACATTTGCTCTTTGTAAATGTTAATTGTAAGACTAATATGCACTGTGCAATTAGACGAAAATAGATTGTAAGTTAACCAGGAGAAATGTTGAATCACTTGAATCAAACTTGCTATACTTGTTCGCCGCACTCAGCAATATTCTAACTGAGGGGGGACCTATTCTAACTCGGAATCCACTCTGGGTAATCTTGCCAGGACTATGAGTTTACGCGAACATAGGTCCCGTCTATAATAACCCTTTAGTTTGACAAGAGAAGCACATACCACAGTGGTGTTCATCTGAACTGTCGCTGCAGTCATCGTCGCCGTCACACTTCCATTGCAAGTCAATACACAAACCGGAAGTACACCGGAATTGGTCGTCCATGCATGAGGCTGCAAATCAAGAGGTGGTGTGAATACCGGAAACAAGGTGTGGGTGTTGGGGGTTAACCGTGGTTACCGTGCCACTTCATCAGTTCTGCAGTTCTATATGATACTAGATCCACAACTGGAAATGTATGTTATTGAGCGCTATAGATCGCAGGTTTCTGTACATATACATTTTGATACAAACCTCAACTTTAAAAATTGCTGAAGGAACATACATCAGTCTATTTTACTTTCTTTTCGAATACATATACCATATTTCACCGAAAGAATACTGTTAATAAGGATTCTAGTTCGAAAACTTAAAGTGCTTGAGGTTTTGGAAGGCAAGCTGCATAGCAGCCCCCATAGAATTGCTCACGTCGAAAAGCAAACAAATATTGACAACTATATCAGTATGCATACGCGGGTTAAAGAGAGCTGTCATACCTGTTAGGCGAATGTAAAAGCCATTCGAATAGCGACTCGTGCCCCTCCCGTGGCCATTTTTGCGACTGGGTTCCGCCTAAGCGCAAACGGGCATAGCTAAAAGAGTCGTCAACGCGTTGTGTGATGATTCACGTATATTTCCCCCATATATCATATATATTCCAGATGCTACTGAAAACACATCGGAACTTACATTATTATACAGTGTGACTGAATACATTTAACCGTATCTTGGGTATAATTTTAAAGGCAGGAATATGTAAAATCAAAACTTATTGCTGATAGATTCCGTGACCGAAGTACTTGAAGTCATACGCGCAGTCAGATTGGTTTGTCGTATTCAATTGTAAGTGATGGAGGTCATAGACGTTTAACAGGAGCATGGGCATGGTTCTAACAAACCAAGAAACATAATCAAGGCGAATCGGGATTCGATTTCACGATCATAGGTTTCTGGCGTGCCCAGAGTTGGTAAATCTGCACGGCGTATTGCAATGACTAGGAACATCCGTTTTCCCCATATTTGAGAAAACAGTATACAGCATAAAACAGTATAAAAGAGCACCGTTATGGCAAGAAACAGTCCACTGCATTCGGTAAAACAGTTCCAGCCTACAAATATTAGGTACCTAAGCCCTTTTGATGCTGAGAAAATAATACGATTAATACTTAAATGCATGTCATAACTGAAGAATTTTGATTCAATTATTAACAAAAACTCTTATTTTCATGCAGAACAAATCGAAATCACATAGTCTTGCACAAGGCATCATGGTTTCTCAGAGGACGATTCTTAAAGGTTATCCGATTTTGAATGTTTGATTAAAAAAAATGCTGTAATTGACATGATCAATCTTAACTTCATTATACTGTTACGAATCATTTCAATGTTTTAGACTCCTAAACCTGAAAAATTCTTTCATATTTTCTACCATAAAATTAAACATATGTATGTTAAACGCCAGTCTATGTATCAGACACATCGCCTCAGCTGTTTCTGAGTAGAAGTAAGATATGAACGGACGTCCGGATGATGAGAGGACACTCCGCTATGCTATAATCTCAGGTGGCTGTTGAGAGGACAAATTCACATAAGTCGGATGTGTACGGACTGACGGTTGGTGGGAGGACAACGCTGATCCGGTAGGAGCAAGGATACTCATACATACCACAGTTTATCTCATCGGAGCCGTCAGTGCAGTCGTCCTCGGTGTCGCACGTGTAGTCTTTTTCCACGCATTCGCCATCACGGCACTTGAACTCGCGATCAGAACAGCCAGTATCTGGAACAAACAGGTGAACAGGTTGGTGAGTTGGTGAGTCTTTATTCGGGGTCTTTACCGGGGGTATCTTCATCAAACAGAAACTTTAGCATAGATCTACGTAGATTTATGATAACTTATCGATGCATGACTGAGACTCGATTACTTACTGCCATCTTTGATAGTACTGATTACGATAACCTGAAGATCTGGGATAGGTCATTAGCAACCCAGGCTTGGCGTAACTGGTGACTTTGCTTGTCGTAAGAGGCGACTAACGGGATCGGGTGGTCAGGCTCGCTGACTTGGTTGATGCATGTTATCGTATACTAATTGCGTAGTAGTCAATCCTGGGATGTTGGGTTTGTCTGGACCAGACTCGATTATTTACAGACCGCCATCATAGAGCTGGAATACTGCTAAGTGCGTCGATCAAGAACAAACAAACAAACTGTTTACTACCAAGATTAACTCGCACAGGCCCAACCTCGCTCTCTCAATATTGTATGACTATATACTTTAAAAGCACATAAAAATGTCTCTTCGAAGCCTTGTGCCGATGGGACTCAACTACAAATGCCCATCCCTAAAACTAAATTCTTGGCATGGTGTTTGGTTTGACGCCCATTTGAAGAACAGAAGCATTCACAGCACTTTGAAAGGGGAAGATTATTATTATATTGGAGTATATACAAATGCAGACTCAACCAACAATTTAAAATGTAGAAATTAGATAAAACATAAACGATTTAAGAACAAATAACAACAGCAACATGTTTTGATTGAATAGTTGATCTGGGGAGGTGGGGGAACGCTGAGAAAAATAATTGGACCCAAGGTTTACAAAATATATAGACATGATGGATATTCTGAATAAGAAAAAGATATTTTTTCGTAGTGCTAACTAACATGTAATCACACTAGTTATCCACTACCACCTTCTCTGAACATTATGCAGCAGTCATCAACATCCCCGAAAACAGACAGACATTGGAAACATTGCTTTACATTCTTCATGCATAAGCAATATAATGATGTTTTTCCCACAGAACTATCAATACTCACTGTCAAAAACGAAGGCCCTGGCAAGGCCCAGGCATACTAAGAGGAAGGCAACCTTGTACATGACTCTTGATCCTCCTAGATAAACGAAAATGAAACGAAAGTATGTCCGGTTATTCCAATATAGTGGTCCATCTTCGAGTCTTGGAATGAGACTCACCAACAAGGATTTCCGAGCTACATTTTTTTAGTGTCACTGTGGCAAACCTATTCGTCGAGTCCCGGCAATGAATATGACACCCTTGCGATGGTCGATTAAAATAGCTTTGGCAATATGGGATTGCTTTGTGAATTTCTTATAGTAAGTAGGTTCACCAAAATAGCGTGTACACGTGATAGTGGTGAGGGTAAACAGGTGCCCTTGGCAGGGCGCGTCTTGGCTTATCTATGAAAGAACTCACCTGTCGATATTTGTCTTTGATACCTTTGGTTTTCTTCAGAAGTTATGTATGTAGAATGCAAAGTTCTAAACAATTAACAGCGTGTCTGAGTCACGTAAAATATATTCACAACGGTTCAGAGAAAGTGGAATCCACAATTTCCGACAAATACACAAACACTAATCAATGTATTGTACAAAAAAACGGGGACACTGAGGCACTCAGACATATCCCGCTACGGACCTAATGTCGCTCCATTCGATGATCACGTGACCAAAGACACCCTAAAGAACAAAATGGCCACTGTAGAACTCATCGTCGAGTATATCATGGTGGCATCTCAAAAAGTATCTTTTCACTCGAGCTGGGTTTCGGACAGAGAAGTGTGCTATGTACAGGATAGGATGTGGGCCTCTTGGAGATTCTTTCCTCACCTCCTGCAGAATGGAGGTCAGTTTGTTAGAGACTATGAGAGTGCTAAATGCAGACAGGTTGCAAAATCTCTAGCAGGGTCTTCCCTGTCGACTTCAAACAGTTTGAATCATGGGAGATCTCGCGGGCCTGAATCTGGACAACTGAGTTGTGTAAAACACTATACAGGATGTAGTGAAGGATTGCAGGATGTCAGCAATCTTCGGCCCACCACCACTGGTCCAACTTCTAGTATCCTGCTACAATATTCGTGTACGGATGACTTTCCTTTAGCTTTATATTCTTAAAAGATCAACGTCAGAACAAAACGCTTAGCATGTGGACATCGCTAGTAAACCGATCAAAGGGCTACTCGTATATATAATCGGCTCGCCCTGTGTGCTGAATAATTCAAACTATTTTGGTATGAACGCTTTTTTAAGTTTAAAGCCTTCAAAAAATGATGTTTGACTCGGCACACTATTGTGAGAACATGTCCGTATGGTGAAAAACCATTTTGGTATATTTAATATTCTTTTCTCTATGTTTCTCGTTCTTAATTATCAACAAATATAATTACTTCTTTTTTTTCACTACCATTTTAATATTTTCGTTCTGAAGCATTATTCACTTATTTTAGTGACTCTTATTATCTCCTGCTAAGATATGAATATTTTTTTAAGGACAATAAATACCATGGCTTCTGTTTTGGTATATTTCATATGTCTTCATTTAATTTTTCATATACCACAGAAGCACTAAGACATATAATTAGACTCGCACGGACAACACACAAGAGAGCCCTGAAAGTAGTTGTGCAGAGTAGCTTCCATTAGTCTTCTCAGAAACAATTGATATAGAGTTCGAATCCCAAATTCGCCATGATCATTCTTGCGTTGTCAGCACCATACTGGTGTCCTGGTTTTCATCTGGGACACACCGCACTTTTCTCCACTATTAGACTGCTCGCTCGCTGTTGAGTATAAATACAGGCACAAGCTTCGTGTTAATGTCTTTATTTAACCAACAGGCTGTCCAGGTCCACACAGGTTACAGTACTTCTTGCAGTAGTGGATACCGTCTTCCTCGTCCAGACAGATGGGGTTGTGAGTCTCGTTCATCAGGGCACAGTCACGGCCAATCAGCATGTCGCGACACTGGTTTGGAGCAATGGTCCCTGTAAAGATAAATAGAGAATATGACCCTCATTAGATACCATCTGTACGACAAGTGTAGCTGGCAATAGGAAATAGTGACATCGTTCAGCGCCACCCATTCTTTTTCAGCCAATCAAGAAACAATTGTCCCTTCGTTGGTTTGGCCTACTTTGTTTTTAAAAGTAATTGATTCATAAACCCACATAAATGGCACTGAATCACATGCACTTTATTTATGGACATAAATTCTGAAAGGGACATAGCCAAATAAGGCACACATAACTAGAAAAACTTGTCCAAAAATCATTTTATTTATGTTGTCAACATTTACACCAATCCATAGAGGGCCTCTTATCCAAGTGACTGACTGCTCGACCCCTAAATCTCAGGAACCATACTGCCTTTCTAAAGACCAATCCTTGAGTGTCTCAGACCGAACTAATTTCACGTGGTCTTGACTTCCTGGATATGTGACGTCTAAAATCTTTTTCAGCCAGATGGACAGCCACTCAACTACGATCATATCGAAATTGGCAACTGAGTTAAAACTCCCAGTGCACCTATTCAAATAAAACTTAAACCGAAAATCATCCATAAATGTTCACTTACCACAACTGCCCTTCTCGTCGGAGAAGTCGTCACAGTCATTGTCGCCGTCACACACCCAGCTCTTCTGAATGCATCTGCCGTTGGCGCACGTGAAGTCGGTGGTCTTGCAGGAACCTGGAACACATTGAAGACGTTCAACCTCAGCGGACTGACAATTTAATTGGGTTGCCGTAGTCTGCTATTCATATGATGTAGCGACTTACGGGATCGGATGGTCAGGCTCGCTGACTTTCTTGAAGCATGTCATCAAAGTATCCCAATTGTGGGATCGATGCTCATGATATCAATCAGTGGATTGTCTGGTCCAACTTCGATTATTTACAAACAGTCGTCATATAGCCAAACTATTACTGAGTGCGACGTTAAACAAACAAACAAACCATACAAACCAAATTGCATGGCCAGCGCCGACAATCCGACAGTCATGTTATCCGCGTGTCCTAAAAAACTCATCCTCCCTTTCTATTTAAAGGAAGACTATGTTCTTAAGCCCGTTTCATATTTTCAGTCTTGGTTTAGCCGCCGTAATTAGACCCTGTGAGACACTGTCTCTTTGAAATTAAGGTAAATGTCAACTGTAAGATTGTAATAATTCAATCTGACCTGAGGAAAATAGATTTTAAGTTAACAATATTTTTTTTTAGATCTACTTGACTCAAACTTATTCATACTTATTCACCGGTGTGTAGGTCACGTATACAACAGATCAGAGAAAGACATACCGCAGTGGTGTTCATCTGAGCTATCGCTACAGTCATCGTCGCCGTCACACTTCCATTGCAAGTCGATACACAAACCGGAAGTACATCGGAATTGGTCCTCAAGGCACGATGCTGCAAATCAAGAGATTGTGTGTATACAGCAGGTAAGGTCCGTGCGTGCGTGCGTGTGTGCGTACGTGGGTGGTTTGGGTAAGTCAGCTTCAGTGTCCCTTTATAAATTATGTTTCAGTGTCCTCAGCAGCAGTTTCATCCGTTGCAAACGTCTATCAATGTGGGCTATAGGTTTAACAGGGCCCTTCTACAATTTCATTTTTCTACAAATCATTAAAGGAATTTACTTTATTCTGTTTACCGAACACTTCATCGAAAGCATTCTTGTTCGAAACTAAAACTGACAGAGGTTTTGGAAGGCAAGGTACATATCATCCCCCATCAAACTGCTGCCACCAATGTTTTAACTATGTCGGAATATACATGTAGAGCTGTTATAGCTTTTAGACCAATGTAAAATCTCATGGTAATCTGCGCTGTGAGATATGCAGGTACCAAGCCCTGGTGATGGGTGGTCGATCAATGTGTACTGTATACTTACTGCAGTTGGCCTCATCTGAGCCGTCGGTGCAGTCCTTGGTTCCATCGCAGTAATACGTGTCCTCGACGCAGATGCCGTCAGACACACAGTGGAACTCATACTGGTCGCACTTCTTTTTACCTGTCACATCATGTATTTATCACCAAACTGTTTCTGTACATCAGAAGCACAACTGCACAGAACTAAACCCATGACACACGGAGTTTGGCAACATCGGACGACAAACACCATACAATCTTCCGCCAGACCAACAAATCCTCAAGATGCTTGCAATCCGTCTTGTTGCCAAAGAAACGCCAAATATTCAATTTTCCCGCCTTGTTGGTTTTGAAAGGTAATGTTATTAGGGTTTCCTTGCGAACAACCCAGATGGTTGGCAAGTTGGATGATTATTGTCTGTGCGTGTGACAGGGCATGTCGGCAAATCTTATCGTGTCATTCGTCTGATGCTGCCAGACAACAACTGCCTCGTTCCTCATGGGCTTAAGGTGAACGACTGAATTTGGTTCAGTATGTTGAAAGGATTGCCGAGACAGAAAACGTTTTGTATTTGGTGTATATGGACGGCAGACCAAAGATAATAATTTGGGCAAATCTTTGACAATTTGCAAATTTCGTAAATGTTATCAGCGATCGACCAGATCGTTTCTAACCGGGTGGTTCCTTGAAAACAATACTGTAGCCTTAAAGGACAGGGTCCACATTCAGGGACTTCTTCTCCGAACTGTGAATGAATTACAAATATAACGACACAAACACATGCTCATGATATAGTCGGAATCGTACAATCGACTTTGCTTTTTGCATGTTCTTATGAATATGGAAAAGGTTTTGTCGCATTTATTTTATTATTTACAAAACCTGCAGTATCATCACCCCGTGTGTCGATTCATCCAAGTTGCAAATGTACCTGTGTCAAATTTTCTTACCGCAGTCGAGCTCGTCGGAGCCGTCGTCGCAGTCGGCATCGCCGTCGCAGAAATACTCGTGTGTGATACACTTCCCCGAGTTGCACTTGAACTGATGAGCGCCGGAACAGTCGGTGGCTACAAAAATTACCGAGGATGAAGTAAGTTAAACATTCAAAGGGAACTATTCTTCAGTATATCCTCGAGCGATGAACAGAAGGTCACAGACCTGAGAGGGGGCACGGGTGGCCCAGTCGTCTAGGGCACCGCGATTCGCTGTGCAGAGTTGCGTCCCCTGGACACGCCAGAAACCTATGATTGTGGGTTCGAATCTCGGTTCACCCTGATTATGTTTCTAGGTTTGTCAGCACCATACCCGTGCTCGTGGGTTTCACCGAAGTAGTAAACGTCTGAGACCTGCATCACTTCGGGCTTTCCTCCCACATTAAGCTGACACGCCGCGATATAACTGGAATACTGTTAAAAGCGGCGTTAAACCCAACTCACCCACACCACAGACCTGAGAAGAAAACATCAAATACACACTAAACTGTGACGATTCAAATCGAAATGATTTATAATTCATGTGTGAATAAGAGAAACTATAAACAGAAAATATAGTAAACGGTCTGTTACCCACTTGGACATTGAAACAAATTGAAAATATTCCCAACTCTACCTGCTCTCAATATTATTTTTCATGAAGGCTTTCTTGTTTGTTGTAACACCGCACTCAGACCTATTCCAGCCATATTACGGTAGTCTGTAAATAATCGAGTCTGGACTAATCCAGTGATTGACATCATGAACATCGATCCACGCAATTTGGATACGATGACATGCATCAATCAAGTCAGCGAGTCTGAGAACCGAATCCTGTTAGTCGCCTCTTCCGACAAGCATAGTCGCCTTTTGAAAGAGTGAGTATGGTTTTACGCCGTTTGTAGCAATATTTAATCAATATCACGTCGGAAACAGATTTCACACATTGTACCCAAGTCGGGTCTTCGGCGTGACGAGCGAACGCTTAAACCACAAGGCTACCTCACCGCTCGTTAAAATTAAAAGGAAATCATTTATTTATTTAAGAAAAGGTTTAATTATTAATGTGAATGGCTTGATTACATCTGAACACTAATTTTAATTTTATCTCTTGCTTTCTGAGGAGATGATGCCTCACCATTTGTCACAACTAAAGAATACTTGTCAGTTCGGCAATAAACACTCAATTTAATGAATTTTGTGTTTGTTGTTAAACGCCGCACTCGGCAATATTCCAGCTAATGACGGCGGTCTGAAAATAATCGAGTCTGGACCAGACAATCTAGTGATTGACATGAGCATCAATCCACGCAACTGGGATACGATGACATGTAACAACCAAGTCAGCGAGCCTGACCACCCGATCCCGTTCGTCGCCGCTTACCACAGGCATAGGGCAAGCATGGGCTGCTGAAGACCTATTCTATCCCGGATCTTCACGGGTGATTGAACATATCTCAGTCACATAATAGTCCTTCTCAAGTGCGTTGAGATTCCAAAGAAACCCAACCCTAAGGAGTATCAAGTTAGGGTTAATGATGGTCTGCTTTATTGGCATGATCCCATTACCGACCCGTGAAGATCCGGGGTAGAATAGGTCTTCAGCAACCCATGCTTGCCGTAAAAGGCGACTACGCTTGTCGTAAGAGGCGACTTACGCTGACTTGGTTGATGCATGTCATTTTTTCCCAATTGCGTGGATCGATGCTCATGATATCAATCACTATATTGTCTGGTGCAGACTCGAATATTTTCAGACTGCCGTCATATAGTTGGAATATTGCTGAGTGCGGCGTTAAACAACAAACAATACAATAATCCCATTGTGCTGTAACAAATCCTGTTTTAGATCTAATGTGTTGAAGTTTGTTAGAATATGTTTGGTTTTCCGAAAAAATAACTTAACTCCATGAAAAAACAACATCACAGTGCTTGACTCCTATATGTGTCAGGCTCAAGCATTCAACTGTTCGAGTCGGACGTGTACGGACTGACGGACGGTGGGGGGACAACGCTGATCCGGTAGGAGCAATTATACTCATACATACCACAGTTTATCTCATCGGAGCCGTCAGTGCAGTCGTCCTCGGTGTCGCACGTGTAGTCTTTGTCCACGCATTCGCCATCACGGCACTTGAACTCGCGATCAGAACAGCCAGTATCTTGAACAAACAGGTGGTAAGGTGGGTGAGTGAGTGAGTTATAATATGAGGGAGTATTTTATCAATTTTCATTTTCATTATTAAGCAACCTTTCTTCAGTCTTACGACATCGAATTACATAAAAATAGCATTTTTTCCCCAGATCCGTTTTGGATAGCCAAAGTCCCATACACCTGGAACCATTCAGTCACGGATCAGTGAAACTTCTGTTGATTCTAAAAAAATATTGTTTTCTATAAAGTCCATTTTATGCCTCACAAACTGTTGTTATTTGCTCCCTAAACATGCAATGGTACATTGAAAGTTCGTGGCCTCATAGAAATTAATGTTTGTGATGTGAAGTTTCAACAGGTGTATGAAGACTATTATCTCTTGTTCTAAACATATCTTGACACAAAAAGGTCAAACAGATTAGGTGATATGAGGCCAACGTACGACGCCCTTTCCATAAGTAGACATACAGACGGCGGACACTAGTGCTCGATTTAGCCAGAAAAAACATGCACCTATTATTGCAAAATACTACCTAATAGTTGTGTCACCAGGTGCATGTCAAAATGTTTCAAATTTGAGTTTGAGCCTTACTTGTCCACACAACATCGATCTTTGAACAATTCAATACCTCAAAGGGGGGCTCGGGTGGCCCAGCCGTCTAAGGCGCCTCGATTCGCTGTGCAGAGAAATTTATGATTGTGGGTTCGAATCCCGGTTCGCCCCGATTATGTTTCTAGGTTTGTCAGCACCATACCCGTGCTCGTGGGTTTCACCGAAGTGGTAAACGTCTGAGACCTGCATCACTTCCGGCTTTCCTCCCACATTAAGCTGACACGCCGCGATATAACTGGAATATTGTTAAAACCGGCGTTAAACCAAACTCACTAAATATTTCAAAACTGTCTTCACCACACAACATCAATAATCCCTGTGTTACGTGTAATTTGTCATGCTGTTGGGGGCTTGACGTCATCAAAAGGTGGGTAGTTCAAGATTTTATGCACACATTTCAATTTCTATGAATCTATGGGACCAGGGTGCAACTAATGTTTTCGTCTACTTGATGGTGTCTCCCGGGCTGGTCCATAACAAATTGCACCCGTGAAGATCCGGGATAGATTTGGTCTTCAGCAATCAATAAGACTTCATTAACACGAGCAACAAAAACGCGCTTTCTGGCATGTGTTCAAGGAAAGTCAAGTGTACAGTGGTTGGTTTGGTTGGTTTGTTTGTTTGTTGTTTTACGCCCCACTCAGCAATATTCCAGCTATATGACGGCGTTCTGTCAATAATCGAGTCTGGACCAGACAATCCAGTGATTGACAACATTATCATCGATCCGAGCAATTGGGATCGATGACATGCATCAACCAAGTCAGCGTGCCTGACCACCCGATCCCGTTTAGTCGCCTCTTACGACAAGCATAGTCGCCTTTTACGGCAAGCACGGGTTGCTGAAGACCTACTCTACCCCGGATCTTCACGGGTCTGTGTATAAAGTGGTGGTATAAGGTGGCGGTAGGTAACAAATGCAAGTAAATATCCACGTGGTTTCTGAGATAAGAACTTCTAGGTCAAGTCCACGTTTGGTACAAATGTACCAGAGACGTATACTATTATACCACTCCCAAGGCAGCCCGTCCCTCCTGTGTGGTTCAGCGTTGTGATCCAAGAGAAAGTCGTTTGACTGCACTCATTTGTCAAGATGGGATTCGATGAAACACATCATTATATAGAAGTATTTGTGGTGAATACTCCTCTTATTCAAATGAAATCATATCATGTCTTGGAAGACATAGGGCAGCGTCCATTTTATTTTTGAAGGAGAGGAGGGGGATCATTATCTTTTCCGCAGTTATATCAAAGAAACTATTAATTAACTTAGCACCATCAAACAATATGTTCGTTTTCACTATTAACACACATTTTTTATGTTTGGATATTTTCCACAAAACTATGTACAGGGGAGGATTGATTTCGTTAAGAAATTAAGCAATGGGCCGCTGAATTTAAGCGAGGCAAAAGTAGCACAAAGGATGACCCTATGGCTGGTACACCTGACGATGGCACGCCTGAAACCCATGTGGGGGCTGCCCATGGCATGATTTGGGCTGACTGACTACTGTGGTCAGTTCCCGGCCAGTGCAGTCGAGCCAACTAACACATTCCACATGACAAGGTACCAAGGACATTGAGGCCGGATCAAACGTTGGCCCGACTGAGCACAGCCATTGTCCGTTTCTAGGTTATCAGCAGAATCCTGATTAAAGTTTGATGAAACGGGGTCATTCACTTTGACCTTGACCTTTGACTTTGACCCAGAGTCAAAACATCATAGTGACAAGTTTGTTTGTTGTTAAACGCCGCACTCACCAATATTACATGACGGCGGTCTGTGAATAATCGATTCTACCACGGATCTTCACTGGTCTAGTAACAAGTAGAAACAATCGGTCTACCCACCAAAGAAGTACAAGCGGTTGGTAAATCAGTTTTCTGGGACAGTCAGGTAATAATCATGATTGACAATCTACAATGAGGTCAGGCGTTAGTTGAGAAAATCTCCGTCCAGCTACTGTTTCCGTACAATGCGCCAATGCACTCGTTACAAGTTGTCGTAGCCGCAGCCGCGGATTGCGGGACATTTGGAGTTTTGTAGGGAAGGGATAACAAAACTGCTGTATTGCTGGACCAGGGGTATTAAAGTATTCAAGGAGATTTATTGAAAACAATTTCGATTCTGAACGATTTGTTTTATGCGAGACCACGAATTTTTCAACTTAACATCGTGCTGGTCGGATAGGCAGATATGCTTTGCATTACATAGCATTATTCTTGTAGTCTTAACACTAACATCTGCATCAAACAGCAAGCACAGATACATTTAAAGGGGACTACGTTCGAGCAGTTTGGCAGTCCCAGCAAGTTTGATTCAAGTCGATCGAACAATGCCTTGTCGATCTACTATCTCAGGGGTTGTGACGAAAATCAGTCACACTTGACGATTACCCTAATACAGAGAAACAATGTCTCACTTTCACATCAGACACCAATTACAAAGTTCTGGATCATGCTTGAGATGGACACCAGACAATAGGTCATAGTCTCCCTTTAAAAACACATTAACATAGATTGATCAGCTGTGATAAGATAACTTATCAATGCATGGTCCGGACTTGATTACTTACAGTCCTGAAAGTTACTTACTAGGAACGAAATAGAACAAAAAACACAGATACCAATGTTCACGCACTCAATCAGAGATTCAGAAGAAGCCTTACATGGATGGGCCTCGTTCCGCGAAGTGGCGTGTGCTACCGGAAGGGAGGTCAATGCTTTACATTTTTTTTCGCAAACACGTGGTGTCATCTCTCATTTTCAGTGATCAGTTCATGTAATTTTCACCTCTATTTTGAATTTTACGTCCCAAAAATCTATTTCGGTAGTTTATAGAGACTGATTTTTCTCTGGTATTGACATTTCATATTAACACTAAGATCACTGTATTGATTGATGCTCATTGAAAGAACAGAGAGCTGACGTGACTAAAAATCCTTATGGAGTCATACCGACGTGATCTTACGTCCTATGGATCGTTCTATTTTGTAGAAATGTCAGACATGGAGTTCGTTCGGGGAGCAAAACGGTTTTATTTTGAATAGCATAATTGCTTTGAATGAATAAAACATCTTTCAATATTTATTTCTGAAACATAATCGATGCACTTAGCATTGACATTGACAATTCCAAAGAAGATATTGTTCATTCAGGTGCATTATGGTGATGTTTTTCCTCAGAATTGTAAATACTCACTGTCAAAAACAAAGGCCCTGGCAAGGCCCAAGCATACTAATAGGACGGCAACCTTGTACATGACTCTTGATCTTCAGGAGGTACGAAAATGAGACGAAAGATTGTCTGGTTTTTTTTTTATAGAGGCCCAGTGTTCGAGTCTTGGAATGAGCCTCAACAACAAGGATCGCCGACCAAACAAGTTTTCAGTGTCACTGTGGTGAACCTCTTCGTCGAGTTGATAATATTCTAAAATTAGCTATCAAAAACTGGGATTGCTTTCTGAACTTCTTTCAGGTAGTAGGTCCACCTTAACAGTGTGTGCGTGATAGCTGTGAGGGAAAACAGGTGCCCTTAGCATGGTACTTGGCTTATCATTTGGCTTAAATAAATCAGGCCTGGCACTTGGTTTATCATTTGGCATGAATAAATCCACATGTCGACATTTGGCCTTGATAACTTCCTTTTCCTTCAGAAAGTTTATTTCGAACGTATATTTGGATGTACAAGTTACGAACAGTTACCAGCGCATCTCAGTCACGTGACAAGATGTCGCCAAGATTCAGAAAGAAATGTATGCCACAAATACACAATGACCGTTTATGAACTACAGAGGAGTTCATTTTATTCAATTTTCATGGTAAGACACAATTTTCTTAGAACCAGTCCCTTCAACACCTTTTCACGAACACCTGGTATCATCACTATTTGATAAACACATGCTCATGATATTGTCTTTCTCTTTCTTTGCTGTTAACGCCGCACTCGGCAATATTCCAGCTATATGATGGCGGTCTGTAAATAATCGAGTCTGGACCAGACAATCTTGTGATTGACATCATGAGCATTGATTCACGCAATTGGGATACGATGACATCCATCAACCAAGTCAGCGAGCCTGACCACCCGATCCCGTTAGTCGCCTCTTACGACAAGCATAGTCGCCTTTTACGGCAAGTATGGGTTGCTGAAGACCTATTCTACCCCGGATCTTCACGGGTCTCATGATATAGTCGGAATCGTACAATCGACACTGCTTTCTGCAGAGATTTCTATTGGATATGGAAAGGGTTTTGTCGCTTTATTTACAATAATGTATAAATATGTTCCTTTTGTAACTAACTCTCAGTCCACCAGGCGACTGAAACTTGACGGTCTTGATGACCTCATCTCTTATCATGGCTACTACTTAATGACGGCACCATTCCCGTGATTGTGGTTACACGAAAGAGGTAAAAGACCTGCATCACTTCGGACTTTCCTCCCACATCAAACTGAGGCGACGTAATGTAACTGGAATACTGTTCAAAGCGGCGTTATACCCCTCACTCACTCTCCCACATAAACCCCAAACCGAACGTACCACATTACACGATCATTCATTTGACGGTGACGTTGGGTGGCGAGTACTAACGGTAGAGCAGGACAAGCTTATGCTTTTCGCGAAAATCTGGTGTCGTCACTGATTTTCAGTGATCCATTCATACAATTTCCATCAATGACTTGCCTTTACGCCAAATTGAATCTGTTTCGGAAGATAATAGAGACTGATTATTCTGACGTATTCTGACGTGTTATATCTTCACTCTCCCCAGCCATTTGTGTTTGTGCATATGTTCCATTTCATGTGCTAATTATGTTTTATCTTTAATATTTATGTGAGTGAATGTCAGCAATATTAATGTTATATCACGGAGAATTATCAAATATTTATCACTTTATATAGAATGGAGATTCAATACACTGCAAAATCGAGGGATATTATCAGTTATGGTGTCTTTAGTTGCCGTATACGGTGTCATATTAGGTTAGCAGGAAAATATTGGGCGAAGCGTGAAGACACCATAACGAATTTATTATGCCGAAAAGTTTACACTATTAGGTAACTTTGTCGCACATGTCATGTCAAAATGAAAACTTGACACTTACAACCGGTATAAACGACAGGACCAGTACATATGTTTCCGATACAACGCTTTAATGTAAACATAAACGTTAACAATGGAATATATAATGCACTAAATGTGAACGTTTAAAGTAGTATAGCTAAAATGGATAGAATTATCATAAAAATGCAAGACCCGTGGAGATTCCGGGATAGAATAGGTCTTCAATAACCCATGCTTGCCGTAAAAGGTGGCTATGCTTGTCGTAAAAGGCGCCTAACGGGATCGGGTGGTCAGGCTCGCTGACTTGGTTGATGCACGTCATCGATCCCAATTGCGTGGGTCGATGCTCATGATATCAATCACTGGATTGTCTGGTCCAGACTCGATTATTTACAGACCGCCTTCATATAGCTGGATAGATGCTGAGTGCGGCGTTAAACAACAAACCAACCAACCAACCATAAAAATGCCCACGTGTTTACAGAAATCTGCGGGCCACTGTCGCTTTCCCCTAACGACGGGCTGCTATCTATTCTGTTGCTTTGTGACGTCAGTCGCGTCATCCTATAGTATGTTCTATGACGTTGGTATTTGTAACTCAGTTACCTTGTTGTAAGCTTTTTTTCTCTATATTTTTTAAGGATTGACTGTGTATTTTTTTCGGTTCATTGAGGTATGAATCGAAAAACAGATGTGCAAACTGTATGAATCCGCGTAGCGGATTCTTACAAAAGTTTGCACATCGGTTGTGCAAACTGTATGTGCAACCGATGTGCAAACTGTATGAATCCGCGTAGCGGATTCTTACAAAAGTTTGCACATCTGTTTTTCGATTCATACCTCAATGAACCGAAAAAAATATACAGTCAATGCTTATAATTAAATTCGACAACGTAAAATATGTTTTATCTACAATAGATTAACCAAAAACAGTTGCATGTATCAAAACAGACAAAAATGACGACATTGATAATTATTCCAGGTGTAGGAATACATACAGTGGCGTGACATGAATCAGGTGATCGTTTAATTAATGCACATAACTTGACACGCCTACACAGTCAGTAGCCAATCAACGGAGAGTGGGATTAAAACAATCAATGCTAATAATAATACAGTCAATGCTTATAATTAGATTCGACAACGTAAAACACGTTTTATCTACAATAGTTTAACCAAAAACAGTTGCATGTTTCAAAACAGACAAAAATGACGACATTGATAAACATTCCAGGTGTAGGAATACATACAGTGGCGTGACATGAATCAGGTGATCGTTTAATTTATGCACATAACTTGACACGCCTACACAGTCAGTAGCCAATCAACGGAGAGTGGGATTAAAACAATGTTCATTGGACCTGTCAATTAAGGCAAGAGGCGAAAAGAACTGCAACAGTCAGACTGTAACGAACCGGAAGAAATATGTCCGAGAGAAGGCGACTGTTTCAAATAACATGGTCATTTACGGCGTGATTCAAACATTACTTCCCTGATTACGGTAAAACACAGTTGGATAAATGCTAGTTAGAATTGAAACCCGAAGAGACATGAAAGTTGAACCGAGGCGAGCGGGAAAAAAACAGGCGAGCGAGCCTGCACGTCACTCTCCTACCCAGAGTTCCATGCGGCCGGCAGCCAGCTAGCATAGTATCTCTGCCACAGGCCAGCGCCATGTGACGATTCGTCACATCTTTCACAGTCCATTCAAGATATTGCATATGCTTTTCATCCGTTTCATGTTTGACAAGTCTACACATTTTCATAAACAAATGTCAAAGAATGGTTAACTTTCATTGAGAAAGTATGCAAATACGTAAAAATCTACTTGTTTTTGCGTAGTAATCCTATGTTTACATTGGTTGTACGGCTCCACGTGCTGTCATGGAAGCCCAACGGAGAGCTAGCGACACGGTCACTTTGATGCATAAATATATATTGTCATGCAACTCACTGTAGCAGTTGTAGTAGCATATCTATATAGTTATGCAAAACAATATGTAAAGCGCCCCCAAATACTTGCATTAGTCCGTTCTATACTGATTTCTGAAAAAGCGCGTTTGTTTACAAACAAGAGAAATGTCCGGTCACGTGATATGCAAATTAACCTGTGGCAGTGGTGTTATGCTAAGTCACCACTGCGCCGGAGTGTGCCTGCACGTTTGCTGTTTCAGTCATTCTCGGCCTTCGGTTTCAAAGGGTAGTTTGGACAATGAATATACATGAAAGTCGATAAATGTTCTGTGCATGACGATACACGTGAGCAGAAAGGGAATTCCCTCGACTGTAATATTGGGATTCCCCGACATTCCGCAGTAATAAAAGTAGTGCGCCGCGGTGGGCGTGGCTTAATTCTTTACATTCATCGGGAAATGAATGCAATAACACGTGACCAATTCAGCTAATCAGAATGCAGGAATTTTTTCATGAACACAACGAAAATTTAATTATTTATAAATAAAGTCACAAGCGTGGTTTCTTTCATAAATAATTTCTTTGCTTATCACAATTAATGATATTAAAACACAAAACAGTGTCGAATAACGAATTTCTGTACCAGAATTTCCATGGGAAATATGTGAGGTGGGTGTTGGAAAATTCAAAATGGCTTTTACCGACGGTATACGTCTCATATTAGGTCAGTAACAACCATCTACGGGCTCATGTGGGGTCAGTAGTTCTGCTCTCTGATTGGTCAATCTCATTTGAGGCATAATAGATACGTATATTAATTGTGCTTCGAAAATCTTGATCTATGTCATACAATGTGCTGGATGCAAGGCCGAATACATTGAACAGACAGGGGACACCCTAAGAGCGAGAGTAAGGGTCCACCGACAACAAATTAGGGACCCCTCTTGTCGGTGTATCCCACTCAGTCAACACATTGATCAGTGTGCCGGGAATAAAACACCAAATCTTGTGATATTCCCGTTTTACAAATGTGGAAATGATGCACTGAGAAAGATGAAAAAGAAAGTTATGTTTTTAATACTTTCAAACCAAAATTAAAATGGCCTCAAATAATTGAATTCCTTTATACAATTACTGTACACTTTACTGCCACTACAATTAGGAGATAAACATACTGTGTTTTCAATGTAGAGCTAGGTTACCTGTAGATTTAACCCCGCTAAATTGAATTTGGAACCGAACTCTTTGGTGTTAGCAAATATACTGAGTGAAGAGGCATGGGTTGAGTTCAGTGTTTTGAGTGGGTTATCGATCTGAATTTACGGAATCACCGAGCAAAATATGGTGCTGTATATACTCAAGCAGTTTGTTTAC